CAAGTTATATTTAATGAAGTGCAAGAAAAATACGTGCTTAATATCGAGTCTTATTTGCTTCAATTATCACTCAACTTCAGAAGATTCACCAAAGCAATGGATCAAGATTATCCAAATCTACAAGAACATTTGAAGATTGAAATTGATAATATGCGAACAACTTGGGATGAATTGAAAGCGATGTACGAGAATGAAATCCATCGGATTCGAGATTTCGTAAAGGCTATCCGTCGCGGTGAAATCGATCAGAGTAAGATTCCTGACGCATTGAATAATGATCAAACAGGAACGTTGCTAAAGATGATAAACGATTTCACTGATCATTTGAAAACGATGAACAAAAAGGAGCAGTTGATAAAATATTTGATAGAAAAACGGTTTATATATCAAAATGCAACCAATCGAGGCATTCAATATGAAGATGATCAACAAACACTTGGACAGAAACTTTTGTCTAATGCAAAGTGTACACTCATCATGTGTTCTAACGACAACTTATACAATACCAATCAATCAAAATGGCATACACTTTGCGATCAGTTACTGGAAGAGCGTGACAAAAACTCACAGTTACAATTGATCTATGTTGATTTCTCCTATTGTTCATACAAACTCAATGATTTCAACATTTTACGTACGACTGAAAAGAAGAATAATGTAAATGTTCCACAACTGCAGACAACGTCACCACGAGAACCACCGAAAAGTGATAAGAGTATTAATATTCTACTTCTTGGTGAATCAGGTGTTGGTAAATCGACTTTCATCAATGCTTTTGTTAACTATCTCAAATTTTATGAACTCAAACAAGCTGAGAAGAATCCTATTGTACTCATACCTGTTTCATTTATTATGACAACTGATGATAATTTTACAGAACGTTTAGTCAAATTTCAAGGATGTGATACTTTAAGTAATGAAGATCATGATCACCTTGGTCAATCAGTAACTCAACATTGTAAATCATATGTGTTTACTCTTAAAGATGGTAAAAATCGTGATCAAAAATTGCGTATTATTGACACTCCTGGAATAG